GCTCTCTAGCTACCAGAAACCTGGTGTTCTATTTCCTTTCCTGTGTCGTCGCCACACCAAAGGATCTATCACTTACCCCATGTCAGTTGTACTCAGATCTCAAACCAAAGACAAGACCTATAGCCAGTTCTGAAATAAAGTAACTAAACATTTATTAACTAAGAAAAGAAATGAGAGAGACATTTACAAAGTTAAAACAGCAAACATACACACAAAAATGAATTGCAGTCTTAGATTTAAAATGGTAATATACACTTCTATAATAAGCAGCTCTATATGTCCTTTAGGGCTGACCCATGCCAAGCAGCATGAGGATCTCTTGCTTATGTTTAGGAATCTTTGCCCCTCAGAGTCCAGATAGCATAAAGAGACCAAGTTTCTCCTTGTCAGGGATTTTTTATCCCCCTTCACCCCAGAATAAAAGCTGATGGGATGAGTTCATAAGCAGGCCTCTCCTTCCTGGAGGCATCGAGGAATGCAATCAACAAGGTCTCTGTACTTTGGTGCTACACAATGCCTCATTTGCCTTCAATGGGCCATCTTGTTTGAAGGATGAGCACTTTACCTTAATTATTGCTGCTTTTCCTGTTTGGTGAGTTACACAATTAGAGGTTTACAATGCAACACTCAGTATAACTTTATACCATGGCATGCAGATATTAGAAGTAGATTAATACATGCAGCATCCTACAAGCATTCCTTTAAGTCTAAATACTAAACACATTCTTATGGCACTAAGGTCTATTTTAACTATGCTAGCCCACAGGTAAGCCAGACTGGTTTCCAGCTATGGATTTGTCGGTGTTCAGTGAGGCCCTGGGCCTTTGGCATGAGCTGGCACCTGGTCTGCCAGTGTCACGACTCCCATCATCAGATAACAGATTCTTGACCTTATGTTTCTGTCCAACATTTGCTCAGTCATCCTTCTAACATACATATCTAAGATTGTTGAATGGGTGGTTTATAAAAGCTGCTTTTACGTCCTCTGCTGTTACTTTCTCTTGATTTGCCTAATCTGTTTTTTGCCTTCAGCACTTTACTGTTTTCACCAAAATACCCAACAAATTCTTAATGGACAACTTTCATGGCTTTTACTCTGTGTTACAGCTTCCTTGATCTCCCTGCAGCTTTTAATGTCATTGGTCACTTCCTTCTCC